CCCCGGTCTCGATGTCCGAGGCCTCGATGTCCGAGGCCTCGATGTCCCCGGCCTCAAGGTCACCACTTTCTATACCCTTTGCCTCGGTGACACTGTTCACAATGTTCCCACTCTTCTTCACATCTCCTACATTTCACTGTCATTTTTTTTGCTGACTCCACCCTCGTCCGCTACCCCAACCTTACTACCCTATATATTTCTCTAATCCTTGCACGCCTCTTTCTAGCTCTCACCTCCAATCTCACGCTCCCTCTCTTTCTCTCCCTCCACTTCTAGTTATCCAACGTTCCCATCTACCCAACGCTCCCACAACCCTAACATTCCTACGATCCCAGCCACACCACTCCGACTGTGCCTGCTTTGTCCTCTCTACAAACTTCGCGAGGTGGCAGGAGTTGGGAGGTGTTTCATTGTACAATTAGCCGCTGGCGTACGGTTTAGTTTTTATGGGGACGCGCAGGAAGGAAAGGGCTCAACTGTCGTTCAAGTTGGCAAGGAGGCTGTGCGGAGTCGGTTGCGTTATCTGGCCTCTTCCTCTCTGAAACGACTCTTCCTCTAGAGGCTGCTTCCTGAGTACGTGCAAGAACTTCTGCACTTGACGGAAACGCCGCTAAGACAACTGACTTGAAAATTGTGTGAGACGTAAAACAGTTTATATAGCATTAAGGACTTACAAAATTCATTGAGTACTTGTAAGTGAACACAAAATATACTACTTTTTTAGGCACGTGTTCACATTTTTTCTTGATTTCGATATTTCTGTGCGCTAGTACTAAGAGCTTTCACAATCCATGTTGTTTTTACTGATTAGTTATCCAAATGTGTACAGAATGATGTCGGAATACAAGTTTGAGAAACTATTTTTTGAAAAAGAGAGAGAAATACTTCTCTAAATCATAACATTTTTTTTCGAACAAAGGAAAGTAATCTGGCAACAATACTCTTACTTGACTTACTATACACTCTACACGTACGTGGTAAAATGCTATTACAGAAAATATTTTTAAAAGATTATTTTTCCTATTCTAAAAAAGAATAATATTTTCAAACAATATAGAAAAGACTTTCATTATAATAAAATTAAACACATATCGGCAAAACTACAATTGGGAGACATCCGTGGTGCAAAAATTCTAAAATATGTAGAATATTTTCCTGATAAGTAAACACTTGAAGGTATAAGCTGGCAGTGAGCACTGATGACAGCATTCCAAATACACTTTCATTGATGCGAAACAGCCGTTATTTGCTGTTTAAGAGAACTTCTTTTCGTGTTGTTTTCTTGTGTGTGTGTGTGTGTGTGTTTTTTTAATTGAAAGAATTCGCTGAGATAGGACCAGTTCCTTAACCGCAGTCACCTCGAACTCATGACAAAGTTAGAACTTAAAATAGCAACGAACGCAAAAATATTTAGAAGTCCGTATGGGATTTACTTCGTAAATTAAATAATTATTTCGGTTTGCCGACGTAGCGGAGTATTATTTATCCATCATCAGGGCTGTGTCACGTCAATACAACAGACAACGTCAGACAAAAAATGTTCCATTGCCTTTGGTCATATTTACGATTAGTAGTTCCTAGCATTTTGGTAATTTAATATAGCCCTGAACATTGAGTCTGCAAAGTGAAATAATTGTTTAATTTACCGACCAAATCTTATGAACAACAAAATGGATTCTTAATACAGTGGTTGTGTATTATTCAGAATGTTACAAATGAATGCGAGTCGGAAATGAGAAACAAGATTCTGATGAGTTATTTAAGTATTCCTTTGGATTGAACCTAAATTTGGACTAAACGAGCCTATAAACCTTTAAATTCTTCCGCACAGCTGAAAAATATAAATTTCAAAGATAACATTTTATCATACCCTAACGAACTATTTTTTAGTATTTTTACAAACATTCACAGATATCTTAATGAAAGGTTGATTTATAGTATATAGATTTATAGTTTTCAAAAAGGTTGTTTTGTTAGCTAATATTTAGACTCATACAGTTGATGAGAATAAATTCGTTGTACGAAAATAAGATTCTTCACATTAGGTAAACGATGACAGTATGTTCAGGTCAAGAAAATATCGTTATGAATAACATTGATTTTCCAAAGGTTGTAATTGCATTATAACTCTGGTGGTCGATTTTGTAACTAATGCCCGCATTCTACCCAATTTTTTCCTTGACATCTGTCAAGAAAAGATTCTCGGAGATTTTATAAATCTCCTTTTAAACATATCAGAATCAATATCTGCAGAATTTCAAAGATATACCAATTAGACATTCTCATGTTTTGCGGACACATTGTTTACAATTGAAACCATGGAAATAAAAATGTCTTAGGCCATGAAATTCAAAATTTAAGATGTAAAATACTTCACACAGCATTATTTATAATTCAAAATTTTAGTATTGGAATCTGTAACGCAGCATTAACTTCAAAATGGTACTGTAACTTTTATGTTAGATTATTTTTAAATTTAACCTTTGTATCCTATGTTCTCAACTCGTTACTGGACACCGTTAACCACTTTGTGGAGTATGTAATGTATGTTTATTCTTTCAGAGGGAGTGTATTTCAATTCATATTGGCCAAGCTGGCGTACAAACCGGTAATTCCACGTGGGAACTCTTCTGTTTGGAGCACGGCATTCAACCCGATGGATTCATTAGTCCCACTAAAAAAGCCACCGAAAAAGACTGTCGAGATGACGTCTTCAATGTCTTCTATAAAGAAACGGCCGCGGGAAAACAAGTTCCCCGAGCATTGATGGTTGATCTGGAACCATCTGTAATAGGTTTGTACCGCTTAATTCATTGTAGTAATGCAATTCATACTGAGAAGTGAATATACATCGAGTTGAAGGAGTATTTTTCTCCAACCTTTTTAATAATAAAAAATCTAAGCCAGTATACATGTTATGTCAATTTTAGCTATCATTCCAATCATGTTACCACAATATTTTAATAAAATGTTCTCTGAATCATGCATTCAAAAAGGATCTGATAAAGATAATCATACAAAAATATTTCACTTGAAAAAATGCTTTAGGGATAATTTGAGTATAATATATTTTTAAATCTGAATCACTTTCAGAATGTAGATAACGTCTGACACTCAGCTTTTGCAATATTACAAAGATAGGTATTAGATGTACTATTTTTTCTCTTCTAAATTAAAACATATAATATACATTTTATATTTACACAACTTTATATCATCTTATTTCTAGACTCTGTGTATATATACCATTACATTTTTATGCATTAAAACTAAATAGATATGATCATAAATATATTGGAGTGGAAGATGGTAGTACAAAAGTTTAATTAATTTACAACATTCTGAGAGATGTTATTCTAAATATATTTGTATTTGTATTTTGTTATTGTATTACGTATTCTTTTCAACCAAACAATCTGTTTACTTTTTTCATGTTTTAAGTCTTACATCAAAAAATGTCATTTCCGATCATCAATAAATTATTCAACGGCAGTGATGTATTGATTGATACTAAAAATTACAGAAATGCATATGCATGCATTAAATACAGAATTGAAGTTCATTTTTAATAAAATACATTTATAAGTGAATTGTTCATTGCAAAAATTACAAGTTTGCAGTCAGAGTGAAGTATGAAGTTTGCCTTATTTAATAAAAAGGATGTAATGGAAAATATAACCAGCAGATGGAAAGGTTCAAATGGGCAGACTAGTATGGGAAGTATATTTTATTGAAACTTGTTAACAAAACTAACTAATTTGGTCACGAAAAAGGCCTATTAGTCGCTACTATTTTTATTCAACTTTTAATGTAGGCTTTAACGATGAAAATAGATGTAAAATTTTAAGTTAGTTCTTTGGCTACATCTTTGAATGATTAGACGAATTTTTATTGCTGTCTTACATTATGCCTGATTTAATTTAGAAACTGATCCCTGCTCCAAAGAGTGAAATATATTTAAATTGACTCAGGCGAAAGTTGATTTGCCAACTAACAGTTGCAAGCTTTAGAGTCAATAAAAACCGAATGAAAACAGCATGATGGAGATGCTAGTATGTTTTGCTAGTATATAACATCAGCATGATTATGTACTAGATAAGGAGTGACAGGGAAAACAGTGTGAGTACCATGAGTACGCCGATCTGAGTCGAAGCCAGTCTATTTAGGAGATTGTTCTGCATTATTAGCACATCATTGAGATAAGCTGTTATTCCACTGCAATGTAATCGGTGGAAAAGGCGGAACTGCGATGGCTGATGTGTACTATACGACGAATTACAGAGGCCTTCAATATATGTCTGCAGATGAAGTGCGGCCTTATTATACGTCCGTACAACGACCTGTAAGCCGCTCTGTTCTCTAATTTACCACGTATGTACTTAATGTGCCACATAGGTAATTGCAAGGTACGCAGATCTGCAACGTAAAACCACGTGCATGCCCACATCAAAAATCCGAAAATCCGCAATGTGCATGCGGAGATGTAACATGCGCCGATCATTAACGGACGCTGACCAGTAACGG